AAAAGAGGTTTAGCAGAGTCTCGCTTTCTTTTCCATAAAACTAAACGTGCAGCATTGTATTGGACAGTTTGAAGTCTTTTAACTTCCTCCAGTGATATTCTTCCCTTCCTTCCTTTTCTCTCCTGCTTTCAGACTGTTGGACAGCAGTTCTTCCTTTTCATAATATGCCATGACTACACTTTTAAAATGATCTGTTCAATTTTCTAATAAAGAGATTGGTTCCTTGTGTTGAAATAATTCCCTTCTCTTTGTGCAACATGTAATTGTTCATCTCTGCTCATGAAATGTTGTTCGTACCATGTTTCTGTGGAGAAGTTGCAGTGATTTGTAACATCTGCATGGAAATATATTTGTACATTTACTTGCAATGATGAATTGGAGAAGTTGATGCCTTCTGACTTCTGCATGGAAATTTATTGTGCTCTCAGTCACGAAGCTAAAAGTTAGTTTGGTTCTTTTCTAAGCATAAAGATTCTTATGCCGACGTGCTTCTCAGACTCAGTGACTCAAACTCAAACTGTGTGGTGTGTTCCAGGTGAAGTTCTCTAGCGCGTCCCTGTTGGAATACCTCAAGTCGTTGTCGGGGGATCGCGCGGCGTTAGAACGCTTCATGGGTGTGTACCTGGCCGTCTGTCGGGATCATCACCGAGACGACAGGTGGGTCATCACTTCTGCTCTGAGTGACAATATTAATGATGAGGAAGATAATAATGGTGGTGATGGTAATAATGGTAATAATGATGATGGTGATAATATTGATAAAGATAACGATGGCATTCATGAAAGAAAAAAATATGTGAAATTGTGCAGATTGAATACCTCTTGCGACACTGTAAGGTTATTTAAGATGCAAGATAATGATGATAATAATGACAGTAATTATGATGATAAAATGACGATGACAATATGGAAAATAATTATAACAGTTCAAGAGAGATGTAAACTTCGCCGATCGACGAGATGAGGGGCAAAGTGTTAAAGAGTTTATCTTCATATTTCCCCTTTGACTTCTCCTCTCTCCAGGGTGTCGCTGCCAGCCATGAAGGCTCTGGACCACATGCTGTGCTGGGGGGTTCTGGATACGCTGGCCTCAGACAAAAGGTACTTGTAGAGAAAAAAGGGAGTGGGTGACTGGAGGGTGCTCCTACTCTGCCGTCAATTTTAAAAAATACAGTATATGCAGTTTTTATAATTTTACAGGAGAACAGGAAACTGAAAATTGTTACTAATAAAACAACATTTACTTTAACACTTTTATCTCCGAGGGGGGTAAGTAAACCCACAGTCCCAAAAACGTCACTAAGTTAGTCATGAAATGAAAACAAGTGAACCTCTTTTGATAGTTCTTCATCTAATGAATGAAATCCCGATACAATAGACCTGATTTCGGCAATTGCCAAAAAGTAATTTGATGCGGACGTCATTGTAAAGGAATGCACCCGGGCCGCTGTCAGTGGCCCACAGGCACAGGGGTTCTGACAGCGAGCGGCTGGGAGCAGTTTGCCGGAGATAGAGAGTTAACACTTTGCCATCATATTTTGGGGAAAATCCAAAGAAACTGGGTGGTAAACATCGCCAATCGGCGAGATGAGGCGGCAAAGTGTTAAAGATCAAAAAGAAAATACAATCAAAATTGCATTCTTCAAGATATTGAATAGGGATGTTTGCAAAGAGTTTGTTTATTTGGTAACAATATTCAGTTTTTCGGCTCTCCTGTAAAATTGTAAAAACTGCATATGCTGTACTAACCTCTTTTTTACTGCTTGGCCTTCTCAAGTATCTGCCTGCCTTGCTGAAACCCTGCCATGACATGGCAGTTTTTGCAAATGCTTGTCTTTTGAGTTACACGTCATCCAAACTGTTCTGGATATTTGATGTGACATTGTTTTCTATACCCGAGTCTGTGGTGTTTATGGTTAGGATTTTCCTTGTTGAAGGAGGGTTGCAAAGTTGTTTTTTTATGGAGTATCTTCATCCGTTTCATCTCTCAGCATGGGTTGCCTGTTACAGGCAGGGTCCCAGAGACAAGGTCTAAGCAGCCTGCTTGTAAACTATGTCTGTTGTGTCGATCTATACGTAAGACATTTGAGGTGGGTGGTTGGTGGGTGCTTTGGTGTGGTTTGCTTCTTCTTTCCTATCAAACATCTCTAGTCCTTATCTCCCCTTCTTCTTTTTTATGTTTGTTACTCTCTTGTAACGCCTCTTAATCTTCTGGCGCTCATATGACCTTATGCAGTTGCGAGCTCCATAAAACCTCTACTGAAACAAAAGACATTTGAGGAGGACAGGAGGACAGATGATGTCACATTTTCCCACTAACAGAAAATAAAGATCCAAAGACTTCCAGTTTTATTTTTAAGTATGTGAGGCGTGCTGACAAAATGAGTAACTTCTCGCAATCTACAAAAGGAGATGTATTGGCCAAAAATCAAACTAGGGTCAAATTTGTAGATTTTCTATCGATGCCATATATTCTTTAAGTATGGCATGCCTTTATATTATTTCATACTTTTTATTTGTAAAAACTTCACCTGTCTATAAGCGTGATGTATCTATTTCCATAGAGGGCTCTTATCCGAGAAGTAACTCATTTGGTCAGCACACTACACATATGGAGAACTCTTAGAAGTTTTTATGTTTACTGTTGAAATGTTCATTTAGTGCCTGCTTTTTACTGGTTTCGTGTTTTTATCATCACGAAATTCCTATTTGACTCGGTCCTTTCGGAGATGAACGTTTAACTCATAGAAATAACCTAATAGTGTTGATAGGGGGTTCTGGATACGCTGGCCTCCGACAAAAGGTACTTGTAGAGAAAAGGGGGAGTGGGTGACTGGAGGGTGCTCTCATCACGAACTTTCCATTTGACTCGGTCCTTTCGGAGATGGACGTTTAACTCATAGAAATAACCTAATAGTGTTGATATACCACTTCTCTTATCTCTTCATTAGTCCTATGTGGCACAGTGGGGATTTGAAGCAAAGGACAATGGATTCGGATGTCACTAGTTTTTCCTTTGTAATTTTTCATTTACAATTAAAAAACAAAATGTGAAGCAGCGTGGTGGAATCAGGCTCTCGTCAATTTTTGGGCATGTAGAGTTATTGGTATCATCTTAAAGCTTGTTCACTCGTCTTTATTTGGATGAAAAAAAATATCCATTTATCTTGAATACAAGTCGAGATATTTGCGAATGAAGGAGGTGGGGGTCTCCTGTTTTCAGAGGTAAAATTAGTGAGAATATGGCCGCCAAAGATTAGTTATTTCCTCAGCTTTAGAGTCCGTGGTAACTGAAAATTTACATTTTTTGTGCCTTTAATCAACGTTTTTCAGAAAAATCCTCACAGAAATGAGCTCTTTAACGTGCATGAAAAGTGTTGAGACAAAAAACAAAAATTTGATGAAAATTCACAAACCTGCGGAAAAATGCAAGTTTCTTCTCTTTGATTATTTTGACGAGAGCCTGATTTCGCCACGCTGCCTCACAAATGAACCCATGTAACCCATTATCATGTGACCATAACCTTCTATTCTGGCAGTGACTCTATACCAGACCAGCTGGTTAGTCATATCCGGAGTGAGGTGACCAAGTGTGGGAATCCGCAGAAAATCATGGCAGCTGCTGATGTGTGAGTACCAAGTGTCTGTTCTGTTTGTGGGGTTTTTTAAAAGTTTCAGTAAGAGTTTTACGGCACTTGCAACACAATTAGGTCATATAAGTGCCGTCTTTGTGTTTGTGCGGATTGACAAAATAATTCCTTATTTCTGTAATGAACTCAGTAAATGATTTCTACATTCTGTGTAACGTTGGTGCACCCGGAGAAAGCAAAATCTGTATTGATTTACCTTGTCCGTCCTCTAAATTCAAAGTTTGGGCCGTTTAGATGAAGCGGGTGATTCAGTTCTCAAAATGCAAGAACAGACAGGTTCAGAAATTTATTTGTTTCCATACCGGCATCTATGGTGTAGTGGTTAGGTACTTTGCTATCACATGTAGAAGATGCGAGTTTGATTCCTGTTTGGGGATGATTTTTATTGAGTATTTCCATCTTTTTGCTGGGACATTGTATCCCTCTCAGTCTAGAATGTATTTATTTGACAGTGTGTAATTTCTGACAGTGTTTTGTATTTTCCATATGTTCTATGTTTAATAATAATAATAATAATAATAATAATTGCATTTATATAGCGCATATCCATGCTCAAGAGCTTGCTCTATGCGCTTTACAACTATTATTACCCCAGCAGACCCTCTGAGAACACTCAGAAACATTCTCAGCTTCCGCAGAAGCATTCAGTGCAAGCTGCGGATTTCACACGCTCAAACACTATCAAACTGACAATTTCCACCTGGGTGAAGTGAGGAAAATTTGTGCAAAGTGCCTTTCCCAAGGACACAACGTCGGGCCAATGATAGGATTCGAAGCCACGACCTTACGGTTGCGAGTCCGAGAGCCTAACCACTAGGCCACTGACGCCACATATTTTATTTCTCGCAGTGTGTAGTATTTCTCACAGTGTCTTGTATTCATTCTGATTGTGTCTTGTATTTCTGACTGTGTCTTGTATTTCTGACTGTGCCTTGTATTTCTGAATGTGTCTAGTATTTCTGACTGTTTTGTATTTCTGACTTGTGTCTTGTATTTCTGACTGTTTGTTGTATTTCTGATTGTTTGTTGTATTTTTGCGTGTATATTTTCCTTCAGTTACTGCGGCCTGCTACAGTTTGAGGGTAGCCCTCGCTCCAAGTGCCTCACACAACTCATGATTCTGCTCTGTCATAAATACCCACGGGTGAGTTGTGGTGTGCTGTTGACTGTTGTGGTATGAATAATGAAAATGTAGCACACTAGATACGAACATGTGCGCACGCACACAGTCATGCACACACACACACACACACACACACACACACACACACATTTATGTAAAAATACATGCACAATGTTAAACAAAGTCACTTAAAAAAGAGACACACACACACACACACACACACACACACACACACACACACACACACACACACACACACACATTTATGTAAAAATACATGCACAATGTTAAACAAAGGTCACTTAAAAAAGAGACACACACACACACGCACACATACACACACACCTACACAAACGACCACACACACACATACAACACTCATTCACACTCTCACACACTACACACACTCACACACAACACACACACACACACACACACACACACACACACACACACACACACACACACACACTCAGGCACATACACACACGCTTTCAAGCAACCACCCACTGGCTTTTGTGTTTATGTGTGTAATTTCAGGTGAGGGACACACACACACATACACAAACAGCCATTCACACTCACACACACACACACCAACATCCACACGCACACACATACACAAACACTCACACACAACACACACACACACACACACACACACACAAGCAACCACCCACTAGCTTCTGTGTTTGTGTGTGTAACTTCAGGTGAGGGACACACACGCCCGCACACACACACACACTCACACATATACACACACACTCAAGCAATCACCCACTAGCTTCTGTGTTTGTGTGTGTAACTTCAGGTGAGGAAGACGACAGCAGACAAAGTGTACGAGGCTCTTCTCACTTATGATGAGGTGGTGCCCGAAGAGCAGGTGTCTGATGTCATGTCTGTCCTTAGTGAGACTAGCTGGTGAGTGGTTGTTTGTGTGTGTCTTTGTGTGTGTGTGTGTGAATGTGTGTGTGTGTGAGAGAGAGTGTGTGTATTTGTGTGTGTGTGTGTGTGTGGAGGTGGTTCCGGAGGAGCACGTGTCTGATGTCATGTCTGTTGTTAGTGAGACTAGCTGGTGAATGGTTGTGTGTGGGCGGCGGCTATATTATGATGTGTGGGGAGGGGAGGGACGGAGAAAGGGACGTCGACTGCATAGTTCACAACAGGCACTGGAATGTTAAGGCAGGGTGGCGATCAGCAGAAAACACGAC